AGATTTTTGGATGGTGTGCATAGCTGATAATATTCTGATTTAATAAGATAGAATATCAAACAATAAAAACGATGAAAATCATTTGTATAAGTCACGATCACACCGCCCAATACTATTAACGTAGGTATACACTTTTTCAATCTGAAAAATGCTCGGGAAATAAAAAAATAGGAAAACTTTTTACTTAAGACCTGAAAATAACTATCTGCAGTGCGTAAAGGTATTTGAATACCAAAAGCGAAGTATATGCGCAAAAGCATCGCCATTAAAATTATTACACCCCCCCTTTCCTTGGTACGTTTTTTCCTTAAACGCCTTACGACGTCCTAAGCCCCCGTCATATTTCATCCTAATCGCGCTGAGCATTCAAGTTTACGTCCCGAGGCATCATGTGCGGTATAGGTATATGCATTGGAATGAAAAATGAAAAGTCAGACGCGCCCGGCCACCCCCTCTGCACAGCTCGGCGATAAAATAACTTTTCCCAGCAGATTTTTAAGCGTCCATTCAGACATAATTAGCCGAAAAATGCCCAATATAAAACCTTGGGCGAGCTTTGAAATTCCGCTCGCTTGCCGGGCAGAGGAGGGGAACTACAGGGGGCATTATCAGCGCTCATTTCATGAACTACCCTTAGCCTCACCCCTCGCTTGGACCTCTAGACCTTGCCGTCAAATTATACGTCCATATTTTTATTATCTCGGTTGCACGGTATAGGTTGATACTGTGGGGGCCACCCTCCCATCCCTCCTACTGCTAGTGTTTGGGGGCGGGGGTGTAGAGCCGACTTTCTTAAAATTCAATATTAGCCCGCGGCCGTGCTTCGCCATCTTCTTCTTCTCCTTCACCGTCGTCGCAGTCGTCGTGACCTGGGCTGGATCGCCCCCAGGAGTTTTCATCTGTAGCGCATGGATGTATAGTATTAAATGATGAGAGAGACGCTAAAAAGGGAGCTCGGTGTGGAAAAAGCGAGTCAGGGGTCCACAGGGGAGGAAAGAGAAAACAAATGTAATAAGGCAAAAAAAAAAAAAAAATAAAAAAAAAAAAAAAAAAAAAATCATTTCAATTTTCTTCATTATTGTTTAATCCTCGTGTTACCTTGTTTGCTTTGATTGCCGTGTGCAGTACTGGTTGTACGTTGGTATGGCCATGAAAATTAACATTCGCTCCGTAACTGATGAGCAGTTCTATCATTGGCAATTTGTCTACGGTCAAGTTGTCTTCGCAGATCAAATCCAAAGGTGTTCTGAATAATAAATTCCAATCGTTGACACTGGACGGATCTCTGGTGGATTGGTAGGAAAAAATTAGCTTTTCTTTTCTTTTTCTTTCTTTCATGAAAATTACCTCTTCAAAATATCGCGAACATCGCCTATAGTCCCAAAAACGACTACAAAGTGAAGTGGTCCTTCGAGACGAGTATCCATGATTACTCGTGCTCTAATTGGATTTCTGTTGAGAAAACGGCATATATGTATATCTTATGTAAGTGTGGGCATTTAAAAAAAAGTACTTTTTGTAATTCGATAATTTAAGGGGAAACAAAGCAATTCTGCGTTACTTGCGTCATTATTAATGAATACTGGTATTTTTTATTTGCAACTTTTCGACTGAACGCGCGGCATTTTTAACTCAATTACATATTGTCCAGGGCATCAAAGTACTACTTGCCAGAAAAGACTGGAAATTATTATTATCAAGTTAAAGGTGTTAAGTACGCCTCGCAGTAATATATTCCGAAAATCCAAACTCCGTGAATTATACCACGAAGAGCATGACAAAGACGAAGTTCGAGAAGCACATATATGTATATATAAGTGTATGAGACGAGAGGTGAGAGTTGGAGATTAGCAGCTTGGTATATTTCCGTAATTGTCTCGAGAGCAATAAAATTTCTCTTTTCCTTCTTCTGGTTTGACAGTATTTTACAAGCCGAAAGATTTCGAAGAATGAAAATTCAGAAAAATGTTTATTGGCTCTCACAGGACGTTGTTTGAAATTTTATACGCAAAGGGCGTTCATTCTTTTCCGTATTTTATTTATACAAATAAACAAACGATGTGACATAATATACGCATGATAAAAAAAAAAAAATTGGTTAAGCAACACGTATTGTGTAATAACATGTATTGCTTTATAGTACACAACATTCTTTGTTACTAAATGTATTGATTACACTTTATTAATTAAAAAAAAAAAAAATTGTACTAATTTTGTAAAATAAACTTTTAAACAGAAAAAAAGGAAAATAATTAATGATGGAGATTCATCACTCAAAAGAGTGGCTCTGATGTCAAAATGACACGATCGATCACTTGCAGCCCAGAATATATTTTTACTTTAAATGTTAAAGTATTTCAAAACATACATAGAGTATAAATTATTCAACAATTACTTTTCAATACAATATACATATAAACACTAAAGATATAAAATTGTTTTTCCTTCGTTTCGGAATTTTTTTTCTTCAAATCCCATCTTCTCAAACTGCATTTCAAATGATCTTTCGAATCATCGGTCAGGATATGCGGAGCGCTATTAAAAAAATAATCCAATTTTTTTTACCTCTTTGTGTGTTGGCAGAATATTCGCTGATTATAGGGTTATTGTACATAAATGTAAAACAAATAAAGCTCTATGTTTGAGTAACAAATTTTCTTTATTATCCAAATAAACACAAATCCTTAGCATAAAATTATGAATTTTCACATTCTTTATATCCGAAACAACTCTCATTAAGTGAGATCCAATGCTCCATTTTTAGGAGACTCTTCCTGTGTGACTGAACTTCTTTTTTAAGCCTTTTTTCTTCAGTTGTCTCTTTTGGACTTATTACTTTACGTATCTATTTAAACGTTGTTCAAGATTTCTGTAACCCAAATCTTGGTATGTACATATTGTATAAGTTAACTGTTTATTTAAACTATAAAATTAAAGGGCTGTGCTTCCGTGAGTTAATGGTAAAAGGTCTAAAGTATTGTAATTTTGTAAATATGGTAGATTTTATAAGCCGTATAAGATAAATAAAATATTTATTTACTTGTGGTGGTCGATTTTTGGATAAAAGATAGATAGTAAACTTGCCGCAAGTAGCATAAAAAATGTCACTTATTTATTTTCTGTTTATAAATTTATTTGCGGCTGGTTTATAGTTGATTACATGGCTCTACTGTAAATTGTAATAATTATTTGGATCAGCGCCATCTAGCGGTCTTTATTTTTTGGCCAAAAGTGGCTCCTAAAATTCTGAATCTGAGCAATCAGGATTAGAGCTATTTAGTCAATTATAAACCAGCCGCAACTTATAATAAAGCTATAAAGTAAAAAAATAAGAATACATGTGTTTTTGGCGGCAAGTTAACAATTTATTTTTTACTAGAAAATCGATCTCCTATGTATTTATACCTTTGAAGATAAATTTTCGAGCAAAAGATAATTGTTAACTTGCCGCCAAAAACACATGTATTCTTATTTTTTTATTTTATAGCTTTGTCATGAGTCGCGGCTGGTTTATAATTGACTAAATAGCTCTAATCCTGATTGCTCAGATTCAGAATTTTAGGAGCCACTTTTGGCCAAAAAATAAAGACCGCTAGATGGCGCTGATCCAAATAATTATTACAATTTACAGTAGAGCCATGTAATCAATTATAAACCAGCCGCAACTAATTTGATAGGTAGAAAATAAAAAAGTTAACATTATTTGTGCTATTTGCGGCAAGTGTAAAACTTATCTTTTACCTGAAAATTGACCTCCAAAAGTATAGGTATTCTTATTATTCTTATATCACTCGTATGTGTTTTACTGTTTTTGCGCGCTTCTGCGTTTATGTAGATGTCGTGACCGGGCTTCCGTGCCTTCCCCCGTCTCTCATGTATTCCGTATACTTATGTTTTATATTTAAAGGCCACAAAATAAACAAAGTTTACTTACGTCACAGCACAGCAGCACCTGTTGGTCTCTATCTTTGTTTTTATATGCATATGTAGTATATACCGGAATGCTGTGCAACATGCAGTTTGCCACTAATTTTATAGTTTGAACTTTTACTTTCACTTTTGCTTATATCCATACGCGTGGATACCGCGAACTGTAGTGCAAGGTGAAATAACGTTTTCGTGATTGTTAACTCGATAATTTTTTTCACACTTGGTGTTTTTTGATGCTTCGTCTATATAATACCATCACCATCAATAGTAATGTCCATTGTGTCAAACATAAAAGTAAATTTAGAGACTCAAATTGTCGAACTCGAAGCCCTACAATCAGTTTACCCCGAAGAATTATCGATATGTGACCATGGAAATTTGGCTGACATCAATGATTACATTGCTGGAAAGATTCAAGAAGTTCCGCAAAGGCTAGAATATGATATAAAAGTTTCAACTTCAAAGGTAACACAAAAATAAAGTAGACTATTCGTGATTGATGAGTTGTATAACATTTTTTTTTCTCCACTATGTAAGGGTACTGTTGAACTGCTTGTGAACCTTCCGTTGGACTATCCAAATGTTTATCCAGAAATTTACTGCAGAAGCTCAGTTCTGGACAGAAATGAACAAATGCAGTTAAACAGAGCACTGCAGTCTTTTACTCAATCTCAAGAAAAAGATGAGCCGATTATCTACTCTTTGATTTCTTGGATCCAAGACAATGCAGAAACTTACCTGGAGAGCTCCAGCCAGAATGGAAAAAACACAAGAACTTTGGCTCACAGTGGTAGCATCAAAAAGAGCATTGACTTTGCCAGATACTGGATTTACAGCCATCACATCTACAGTAAGATCAAGAGAAAACATATTGTTGATCTAGCAAAGGATTGTAACTTGACTGGTTTTAGTTTTGTTGGGAGACCAGGTATCATTTGTTTCGAGGGTGCATTCGATGACTGTGAATATTGTTGGCAGCAAATCAAAGCGATGAACTGGCAACGTATACTTGTAAAATTCTTAGAAAAAGAATTTGAGCCTGTAGATGACCTTGATACATATAGAAAATTTTCTGATTTTCATGAGATGTGCTTTCCTACTTTGGATCGTCATAATGACATGGGTCTATTAAAAAAGTATCTAACAGAACATTGCTTGGATTATGCATTTAAAGAGCTCTTTGGTATTGAGGACAAAAGTGCTCAACTTGACGACAAATCTTAATCTCTATTTTTAACGTTTTTAAATTGTACATAAAAAAACTCGCTGAAATAAATTTATTTTTTCTACGTTAAAAGATTTGTCTGCTATTTCAAAACTTGTCTATATCCTCACATTTCATATGAAAATAAAAATTATATTTTTTTTCGTTACGTTATAGCCAATAATTTAATGATGTTTAGTAAACAGATACCCTATTCGTATAGTGTAAGTGAGACTAGATTATGTCAAGGTTTTAAGGAATCGGAATACTCAGATTAAGTATATACAATATAATATTTATTAGAAATATATAAAAAATAGAAAATTTAAACTTAACAGCTAATATTTACACAAGCCCTACTATCTTATAGTGGCATATCTTTGAAATTCGTTAGTGACAAAACGTCCAGGTACAATCTGCGAATGAAGACCAAAGCGATCCTCAGCAGGACTATGTACTTTTATTTGTCTCATGTGAGTGTCTCGTCCATTTTGGTGATTGCTTATAACTGCTATTTGAAGCATAAACGTTCTGATGGGCCGATCATTGTCATCCTTAATAAGTATCACTACCCAACCACTGGGCTCATTGAGATCCATAACTTCCACCTCTTGAAGGTCATTAAAGTTTGTCCCAGCCCTAATACTGATTCTAAAATTGACAAATTTTCAGGTAATATACAGCCAGAAGCAAGTAAGCAAACCTGACGATCAACGATTTAAAAGTACCTGCTTGGCGTATAGCTCTCGTCGAGCTTGTAATCCGTGTAGATGCAAATGTCGCGAATCGTCGTTTTCCTGCGAAACTGAATATTGACAAGGTGCGGCAGTTGTCCGTCCGATTGCCAATAAGTTTCTGTCATATCGTCTCTCAACTGATCGACTCCAAAACCTGGTTTGCAGCTGGACAAGCTCCAGATCGCCTGGTTGCCCACTTCACGCACTCGGCCTGCGAGCTCTTCCGTCACGGGATCGATGACTCCTGGTAAATTTATATTTCTTATGTATGACCGTGAAATCTTTTTTTTTGCAAATTAAAAAAATACACTTACCCGACGCGTTGGTTTTGCCGCTCATTTCGGGGTTATGTTTGAGAATATCTGCATCATACGTACATACAACATATCAATACGTGCAATAAATACATATAAATATAATATACGATTCTAGCCTTTATAGAATCAGCAATCATTAAATAGCAAATTTTTTGCGAACAAATGCAAAATAATTAGTTAATAATCGACGATTTAATTTATATATTTCACATACTATTCGAACCCATCTCAGGACTCATACACTTTGAAATTTATTGTTAGATTAGTACTAAAGACAAAGTGTAAAAACACTAGGAGCCAGTGCCCACAAAGTATAAAATAACATATTGCACCTATATTTAAGTAGTTTACCTTTGTAAACATTCCGCTTCAAAAGTGCGTGATTGTTTTGAAATTCAAAACTGTTTGTTAATGCATCTATATTCTATTCTCAGTCGGTAAGGTCACTCGGGTAGAAAGAGACAGAGAGGACACTCGGCAACCATCTCTTTCTTTTACCGTATCGCTGTATTCAGCCTCTATAGCGCACTCTATATATATCCTTATATCTCTATGCTTACAACGTACGTTTTCTGCTCTTCATCGTCTGCTATAAATTTGGGACACATAAATGATCTGCGCGCATCAAATGTAAAAAAAGCGTATTAAACATAAATTTAAAATATTATCAAAGATCAAGGTAGGCAAAGAATATTTAAGATAAACATAAATGTGTAAAAAAATGGCAAGACTAAGAGTCTGTGTTCTCTTTCAACTGAGTGCCAAACTTTATTGACAGGTTAAATAGTAAACAATTGGTTAATGTGATCATCAAATATTTTTCTTTACACTCTGACTACGATTTCCTGTTAACATCCATGTACAAAATAAAGATTTTTCAGGTATCATCGATTTGGCAAGCTCAAATTTTCTACAAAATGACAATGGTGAAGGTTAAAGGTGGCATTGAAATTTTGCGGCTACCTGTTAACGAAAAGGAACATGTCTTTCCTCCTTGGCACATGAAGTACACCGAGTCCCATATACTTCACTCTAAATGTTCGAAAACTGGTCAGGAGGATAATGGCTGTCTGGATAATGAAAATGCATGCCAATTTTGCACGTATGCGTATACAAATCACCATAAGATTAATTTGTAAGTAAACCAGTAAAATTAATAAGAAATATTTTAGTTATAGCAGAGAACTCGAAATGATTTTACCTGACATGGTGTTTCCAAACAATGTTCTTCGTCTAAAACACAAAAATGGAGCCTTTTTGGAGTTCAAGGCTTTTGATGCTCTGAAAAGAGTGGCAAGTGGTAAAATTAACATAGAATTGGCTTGTGCTGAATCTTGGCGTGAGACTAGGTAGTAAACGTACGATTTTTTTAAAATTAAAATTTATATCATGTTACATTGTATAATTTTCTTCTGCAGGCAAGATAATCAAGAGTACTTGAAGGAAAGTATTCCACCCTTTGACTGGACTTATACTACAGAATATATGGGTACTGCTTCAGGCTTTAAAGTCGAGAATACAGATGAAAGGATAGATTTTGAAAAATTGAAACGCAAAGATAAGATTTTATTTTATGTCGACCTAACACTATTTGAAGATGAACTGCATGACAATGGAATTGCATCTATGAAAGTGAAGATGGTTAGTAAATCCAACTGTTTTCAATTGTAATTCCTACTATCATCTAAATGCAAGTAACTAAAAATGTTTTAGAGAGTAATGCCTGGAACCTTTTATATCCTTCTTCGATACTTTTTAAGAATAGACAATGTCATGCTGAGAGTGAATGAGACACGAATCTACCATGATCTCAGAAAAAGTTATTTATTACGAGAATTTACGTCAAGAGAAGCAAAAGTGCAGCAATTAAAACATGTGAGTTTTACAAGTATTGGTTTATCAATTTACACATCTTCATTTTTCTCAAGATCTCGTAAAATCGTTTCGTTATAAACTTATGCTGCATTAAATAATTCATTGTAATTAAAATTTTATTTTTTAGATACATCCGGCTATTTTTACGTTAGAAAATGAAATTGCACCTTTACTACCATTAGTCAGGAGTTACTATCACAAGCTGATAATCGATGAATTAGAACAATCTCCAAGCAACGTTGTAATACCAGCCTCATCTTCTAGTGATGCTAGTAGTACAGAAGTTCAAAGCCAAGAGTCTGCCAGTCCTTCAGAATCTACAAAAGCATAACGTGCCTAAAATATTTTTTTTTTTTTTGTTCTTGGATCAATGAAATTGATCGAGTCATTGTACACTTAAACAAGGACTCAATAATTTTCAGAAAAGGTTTAGCAATACATCCAACATCTATTTGGAGAAAAAATGGTAATTGTAATTCTGCATTACCAATTCATTTACCTACCAGTAACAGTAATGTGAATTTTTTTTTTTTTTTTTCTAAAGATTTATAATAAAATGATAAGAAAATATTTGTTTATTTGGTTATCACAGAAAGCACCCATGAGTCCTTTTCTCTTCCTATCAAAATTTAAGGATACGTAAAAAAAATTATTAATAAGTTACTTCTTGTAATAGAAGTACGTATGTACATACGTTCTAAAATTTAAATACAGGTATAGTTTTTTTAATATACTCCTGCTGCAGTGCTGCTGTCTGCTCTCAGTGCTCGAACTGCGAACTGCGATTCGATAATAAATAAAAAAACAAAAGCGCCAATCACCACACAACGCGGGGCGCTTACTGGCCGCTTTGTTAATTGATATAATAAATAAAATAACAAAAGCGCCAATCTCCACACAACCCAGTGCGCTTACTGGCCACTTAGTTGAATAATATAATAAATTCAAAGTTATTAATTAACAAAGCGGCCAGTAAGTGCCCCGGGTTGTGTGGTGATTGGCGCTTTTGTTTTTTTATTTATTATATCAATTAACAAAGCGGCCAGTAAGTGTCCCGGGTTGTGTGGTGATTGGCGCTTTTGTTTTTTTATTTATTATATCAAATATCAAAGCGGCCAGTAAGTGCCCCGGATTGTGTGGTGATTGGAGCTTTTGTTATTATTTAAAGCATTAAATTTAAAAGTGGCCAGTAAGCGTTCCGTGTTACTGGGTTAATTAGCATTGGATTTTTGGGTTTAATAGCTTGGGGTTTATTTATTTATTATTTTAGATAATTCTGTTGAGTTATGTGGGATTTTGCGTTTTGCTCCATATAGCCAATTTGAATTTCGCGCTACTTTGGATGCCACTTTCGGGAGGCCAATCCCGTCAAACTGTCAAGTAAAAGTGTATTGAGTATATATTACGTACTATATATATAACATATATTACTCTCCAGTCTCCACGTGGTGCGATTCCGAGCGAAACAAACAAATGAAGCGCAAGAAGTAAGTAGAAGCGTATATTTTTATGGCCGGCCTGTGGGCCAAGTGCGCGCGTGTGTAGTGCCATAATTCTTCTACTTTTATAATCGTATAATCTGTCATCGCGTCGAGACACTTGAGACTGCGGACAGTATAGACTGGCACAGATTAATTATAATTTATACTTATGCATAAGTCATATATATCACGGGAATAAAACATAAACAAAGGTGTCGAGTCGTTTACCGGTTATAACATATACTTAACAAGCATTACTTACAACAATACAACCGGACGCCGTCCACCGCTTTCTCAGTCATAAATCATCGATATTCACTTCGAGGTATGTATAATTTATGAAATAACCGTATTTGTATATGTATTTGCCGTATGTAAATATAAATGAATAATTATTTATACGATGTAGTATTGCAAGGAATATAAGTACGCGTTATACTTACGTAGGTATATAAACAATGAAGCATCAACGAGAAAGAAGTATCTGAAAATAAACAGTATAATTTCGTACACGCGTGTACTTACGAAGAACAAGACGAAGAAGTCATTGTTTTCCGCTTGTATGAGTGTTTTATGTTGTTTTTTTACACATATTCCATTGTGAATCTGCAGCCATTACTATTTTGGCACTTGGCATTATTTTTTATATATGCATAGGCATTGTTTGTATTGAAATTCTTTATTGGCGGAGAGAATAAACAGTATAAACAAAAATTAGCCTTGGTTGTCGCTGATTGGTCGCGAGCACGTCATGCTGATTTGCGAAACGGCATGGTAGTGGGTCTTGGGTGTCGGGGGAGTGACGAGAGACGATTACGACCAATCACAGAGCTCCTTCAGCTGCAGTGTATCGGCTATACATCACCTGCCGGGACCCTGTAAAAGTGTACGGCACAAGAAATATTTAGTTTTATAATTTACGAAGGTATATTCATAAAAATAATTTTTTTTGTACGTCATTGATAAACATCCAAACGAGCGCATAACTTGTGATGTATATATGTATGTATGATATGTGTGTACATCAGATACACCAATGCTTAAAAAATGACAAAACTTCGTCGTCTAAACTTGATGAAAAAATAGAAATTTATGAGAAAATCGGTAATTCGTTGGATACAAAGTTAATTACTTATATAATATCAATGTTACAGCTGACGTATATTCTCAATTTAGTTGATAAAATTTCAAGGCGCATGTATAGGTACTTGAAACTTCGACATTTCCAAATACTTAAAACTCAATATCTTACATATATAAAATGTGTCACTAACTAGCGACTATATACTTATCAGTTATTAATAGAGCGACATATTAAGGAAATATACAAAAAAACTACATTGCAGTTTACAAAATATCATGTTTTACTTTGCATGGCTACGATACATATTTGTAACTTTGTAATGAAGTTGTATGTACACCAATCTGTACAATGTCTTAAGTATTGAACTGAAGCAGGTGTACCACTTGTATTTTTTACAAGTGAAAATCCCATTTGAAGTCATTGCAACTTACCGTCTGCACGTTATATGACTAATCACCTACTTCCTGTCAAAATGGTAAATAACGTGGTGGACGTTGGTTTTAGAGGAATTTTGGTTCCCCTCAATACGTGCATGTAAAAAGACGCCGGCTTGTGTGTTTGAATCGCACCTCTGGGACTGGCTTGGTACGCAAACCATAAATTAAATGTGTTTGTGTGTATAATACCTACGTCAAAAAAAAAAAAAAAAAAAAAAAAACCAAAACATAGTTCCGGAGAATGAAAATTATCTCGTATTTTCTCGATTCCCTTGATCATCCGATTTTTTGATTTCGAATCGTATCGTTACACATTCGTTCAAGTAAGATAGCGAACGCGTACAAAAGAAAACGTTCATAAGTATTTTGTTCTCGGAACTTTTTCTCCACCACCCGAGCCTCGACCGCTTCCAAGTAAGCATATATCAGCAGTCGTAAGTATACATTTCTGTAACGAGTGTGTACAAAACGTGACAAAGGAAGCGGGTACGTGCAGGGTCTTTTCCCGAAAAGAAATCGGACTTAGATAAATTTTAACGCCTAAGATAACATTTTCCACACGTACTGCCATAAAAACAAGCTGTACTTGGAAAGTTTTCACTTTTAGAAAACCTTTTGTTGTTGCTACAGCTATGCACCCGAAGTTTCGGTTCACCAAAGCTTGGATACGCGTGTACACTTGGCCACTCGGGACAATAAAATTATCCAAAGCAAGCGTCCCACAGTTGGACTTTCTCTTAAAATCATTTGGCGCGTGCAGTTAAAAGCGCCAAAAGTTGCGGACACACCTGTAAATGAAATGTGTTTTTTATTTATCTTTTGAACGTGAAAAAACTCTTAACGTCGATCGGGTTTTTTTTTTTATGAAATGACCGGTACTTATATGCGGCACCGGTGCGTGTGCCTGTTTTATGGACATGAGAAGTTCTGCACATGTGGTACAGGCTTGCAAGTCGCATGAAATAGAATACAGTACCTACTTGTAACAGACGCATTCCTATACGTATATACAACGATCGGCTAATTATATCTCAGTATATATATAGGTACCTGGTTATGATTCACGTGTAAGAACTTTTTTTTGCACGTGTGCGTACTTTGTAAATGTTATACGTTGTTTGAAATGAAAAAAGGGTTTTCTTCGCTCTTTTTTAACTGCGGATACAGATTTCTGGGCAAATTGCGGGGTACAATAACCGGTAGCGGCACAAGTATAATAGCTTAGATTTTTTTCCAACTTGAAAATACAACTTCTCGCCCATAAAGAAAAATATTTTGATCCTCATAGGTATCAATGGAAAAAAGACGTACTTTTTTTAATGAAAAATTGTAGGTATACGCGACTAGAGGCAAAAGTAAAGTATTATGTCTTAGGTACTATACATAAACCATAATTCATACTTAAAAAAGAATATTGTATACTTTTGTCAGTGTGTAAGTACTTGAACCTCATTTATTTAACAAACAAATTACTTTTATAGTCGTTTCATAGGTAGTTACGCTTTTTGCTCTAGACAATATTTGTTTACTCCTGTATCGCAATAGTCATGCATAAAACCAACTTGTAAATTTGTAGTTAGTGTCGGGAGACATGTTTTCCATTTGACATTTTTTCCAGAAGTACTTACATTTGTTTTAACTGATATTTATTACGAATACTTTTACACCTATTTTTTTGATTAACAGCTTAAAATTTAATATGATAGCCAATACTTAAACGTAAGTTATTAGTATGAATGTGCATATATGAAAAACCGCGAGTCATTTGAACATTTTGTCTATCTGTCTCTTCTGTTTAAAATGAAAAATAGCCATTAGGATCCGCAAATTATTGAATTTGTCCCACGATCCAACATTTGCTATGCAAGAAAAAAATTCAAAAACGTCACATTTAACGAATAACCAAAGAATAACGTAGTCGTTCGGATTGCACAAGTGCAACCTTCAGTTATTTTACAGCATAGAATATAATATGTATATTTGCCATTTCCCTTACGACTCAACCACTGGCCCAAATGCATTTTCATCTCGTTTTCATCTACGAGTTAGGTGGATACCCCAATTCGCTAAATTTTCTCACATTGTGGAAAAGCCAAATCAGGGCTAAGTACATGAGTTTCCAGATGACCACTGATTCGGCTCTTTCAGAGTGAGAAAGCTGGCCACATCAGGCCCATCAGGGGCAGGAGCATCATATGCACACACCAATATATATATTTATCTTCACGCCTGTGACGTGTGAGTATGAAGAGAGTTTAAACGCGCGCAGCCTAAGTACACGAAGAGTGGGGCAACGATGTTTGGACTCCGAGAGGTAGTATTTTTGTTTTGGGCCAGTAGTATAGCGTCAGGAAAGCTATCGTGTGCACCTATCGTACCTAGCTAGTCTTATAGGGGAGTTCATCTGCAGGGCCACACGTGCGCGCTCTTCTAACGTTTTCTGGCCACTTATATCAGGTATACCGAACAGTACACACAGGCTTCGCTGTAGAACTTTAGATTTTGTAAGTTTTTTCAATTGTCATTTTTAAATATCTAGTCATTCGGCAAGGTCAAGTTCAAACATTTAAAAGGAGTTCTCTGTGGATAACTTACTTGTTTGAATAGTATGTGACATCAGTTGTCATAGGCAGTACAACATTTTTAGTCCATATTTTGACTAAAAATCGGTTATTTAGTTTATCGAGAGTATACGTTCAATGACAGCTTCACATTTCCTGCGATCGTGGAACGAAGGAAAAAATTACAAAATCATCGTATCGTAACTTTCATTTAAAACGCATAAAACTAATTAAATTACACAAAATATTTGTCAATAGCAAAAACATAAAATTGCCAGTCGAACAGAAAAGGACACCATTTCATTATTTAGTATTTAAACATCTATTTCTGCTTTCAAAAATGCGTATCATTTAAAAGTTAATGCATCATTTCATAATTTAACGTATACGAGCGTGTTATCTTATTATTTATTTAGTTTATCTTGTAAATAATTTTTAGTTTTGAAAAATACAGAGATACACTTGAAATAATTTGTTTTCCCTTTAGCCGACAGAGTGTAAGTTTTGAAAAATCTTGAATGAAGTCTTCCTTATATACATAGTAAATCCCAAGTATCCGTCATCTTTAGATTGAATTTTTCTCAAATGTCAGGCACAAATTTCTTTTCACTAAAACTATGATTTAATTATAAAATATTTGCCATTTAAAAAAATAAAGAATAGCCACTTTCACGTTGTACATACCGTGTGTAATTATACTATGTCAAAATTATATATAATTTCCTGTTCGGAGAAACAAAAAACGAGATAATTAATTTATTCTCTCATTTTCAGGCAATGATAAAGTCAAGATTTAAGATGCTTTACGCGGACAAGCCAAAGCAAAAGAACAATTTGCCGCAGCACACAATACCGCGTTCGATAAGAAATGTTGTGAGAAAACAGCTACAACCGTGGCTCGGCATGACAGAAGAAGAAAAACAATACATCGATTTTTTCAATGCCATCCTCAACAGCGAGTACGAACTGGATAAGGATAATTACTTCAATCTCCTGAAAATCATGATGTACGTGGAAGAAGTTTACAACGAAAAGGAGCTCGAGACATATAACATGTGGGACCAAAAAGTCGAACAAGTTATTTTCAACGATTCAGAATACTTGAAGATAAAAGTCGAGGGCCTGGCCGAAGAGAGTCCTTCAGTGTTAGTTAATGATCAAATGAGACTGACCAACGTTTTCAACAAATACGCATACATTGTCAAAATAAAACACATCCTTGCAGATTCGGTGTTAGTCATCCCACAGTGCTACGAACAATATGAAAGGTAATTAATCAGTCAAACATCAAAAGCAGAGATGAGTAGACTCTACTAGTAGTAAAAATTATAAAGCACATAGCGGAATAATATACACGTTGTAACGTTGCATTTTCAGAGATCTCGCCAAGGATCATCAGCCCAAGGATAAGTATAACATCGAGTTCATACAAAACACTTATCCATATCAATGTTGCCATTACGCATTGTCGTTGATCGATAGTTACGAGTTGACTCGGCAATTGTTTCCTGATAAAGTACGGGCTGTTAATAAAGTGCCATCGAGCGAAGGGTAAACATATAATGAAACAATTATTTTACTCGTCCCTAACTATTGGATATATAATATATAATATTATGTCGTAAATGGTTTTCAGCATCGTTTGGTTCAATAGATGCATAGGAGACAATGCCGAACAACGAAAGGCTGTGGTTAACATATTGAATAAGTCGTCGTGTGGCTTGCCGTATATTCTGTATGGGCCACCAGGTACCGGGAAAACAGCAACGCTCATCGAAGCTATTTGTCAGGTGAGCATTTTTCTCATGAAATTGGAATTTAAATTTATTATTTGAGAGCATGGATTATTTACATTGTGACTTTTGCAGGCGACCATGAGTAGTTCTTGTAAAAAAATCTTAGTATGTACTCCTTCCAATGATACAGCCGACAGCATAGCGAAAAAATTACTCAAGTACATTAACAAAAAAGACTTGCTTCGCATGTACAGCTTTTCAAAAGACCCGTAAGTTACTTTTATGTACAAAGACATATTTTTAGTGTGTAATGAGTTTTTTCAAATATGATCAAGTTTTAATTTTTTTCCCCTCGAGTCAAGGGAAAAATAGGGATGTTTCCCATGACTCATACGTGGGTTCACTCATATTTGAAAAAGGCACTTTGTGCAAGTAAATATATTTAATCAAATGCATTCTGATTTTACAGAAAAACCATTGACAAAGAACTCATTGAAATCTCGAATGTTAAGAAAGAGGGGATTGCATCAGTTTCCATTTCTGATATATCAAAAATTATCATCACAACACTATGCACGAGTACCAGGTAACTGATTTATTTTCGTAAAAATTTACCATATTTTGTTACACAGAAACGACACAAATTTTTAATCACTTTGTTTCTCTTTCAGGTTGTCGCTACTAAATTTAAGAGTCAATTTTTTTTCGTACGTCTTTATTGATGAAGCTGGTCAAGCAACCGAACCAGACGCAATCATACCCCTGCTTTTGTTGAGCAGCGCGAACCAACATGAAAAAGGCCGAATTCACGGACAGGTAGTTTTAGCTGGAGACCCAAAGCAATTGGGACCGGTAATTTTCTCAAGGATCTCGAAAAAAGTATTAGGTTGGTATAATTTTTATGAAAAGTCGAACAAAAATATTTTCAACTCCAAGCACAATTATTCTCACTTTTTTTGCAGAAAAATCCTTCTTAGAAAGATTATTAGCTTATTCTCCATACCAAAGAGATGACGTAAACAATGAATACGATGAAAGATTCATAACGAAGCTAATAAATAATTACCGTAGTCATCCGTCGTTAATTCACGTTTCAAATCAATTGTTTTACGAGGGAGAACTGAACTGCGTGATTAAACACGAGGAAGGCTTAGGCTGGTCGGGGCTTCCAAATTGTGAATTCCCGATGGTCTTCAAACAAGTGTGGGGCAAAGAGGAGAAAAATTTCAAGTCTCCTAGGTATGATTTCGTATGTTTTAGGTTTAGTAGACTCGATTTTAACGAATTTCAAACGAAAATTCATACAAAGAACAATTTCATGTAAATAATTCCAAACTCATAGCTCCTACAACCAAGCTGAGATGCGAGCCGTGATGCAGTGCGTATACGACCTCATCAACGACAAACAGTTCAAGCCAAAAGACATCGGCATCGTAACTCCCTTCAAAGCTCAAAAGCTCAAACTAAAGACCATGTTACAAGACGACGGCCTGAACGACATCGAGGTGGGAACGGTCCAACTGTTCCAGGGTAGAGAGAAAGAAGCAATCATCATGACGACTGTGAGAAGCGAGTACTTAACGCACAACGGCGTGCGACACGTAGGATTCCTCTCGGATCCACGGCTCTTCAATGTCGCGCTCACGCGCGCCAAGTCTATGCAGATAATCATTGGGAATCCCCAGGTGTTGGAGATCGATAACAATTGGAAGTACCTCATAGACTATTGTCATCGGTTCAATGCTGTCACAGGTGGCGTTGAAATCAAGCTTGCGCCCGTGAAAAATCGTAAAACAAAGAGCAGACGCCGAGCAATTAACCCGGCCGCAGCACCCCTCTGCCAAAGTTTGGAGAAGAGCGAGGTTACAGCGAATAGTAATGATAAGAGCCCTACCAAGGAGCATAAGGAGCGTGAAAAAGATGTCTGTTCGCTTCTTAGCTCTCTAAGCGTGAGGGATGACGCGTATGAGGATCAAGTTGAGGATGTAGTGATGGCCGTGAGGGACAACCCGACGTATGTCGAGCTGGCGAATAGGTGCGAGCGCTCAAGGACTTCGGCTGAGAGCTCCCTCGGTAGTTCTGCATACAGCTCTGTGACGAGCTCCGAATCGAGTAGCGAATCAGACTCTAATTCCGAGTCGAGCTCTGAATGCTCGTCTTCTTCGAAGGACGAGAGGGAGGAATCAGTTTTTACTGAGATCAAGCTGCGTGTTCAATGGCGAAAGCCCGTGCTGAGTAATAAATAGCCATACGCGTGAAACGAAGTGAGATTGTCCACACGCCCGATTTATTTGAAAATGCGTTTTTTTTTTTTTTTCAAATGGGCGATACGTAGGGAGTTTTGAGTTGGCTGAAATTTTAGGCAAAATACTTAAAATATTTTTTTGTAGTTTCATCAAATGTCTGCCTATAAAATTTCAATTGCAGCCACGTACACGAAATGAAAATTACGTCTTCTTTCGCGAGAATCTTATACATATAGAACTGCGTAGATGGTTTCTTGATTGATATATATTATGAATTTATCTAAATTTTGTAAATCCATCAATTGAAAGATATTTCGTTATTTAAACGTTTTACATTTAATTAATCTGTCAGTAAATTGTCGCGTTGATTACATAAAAATGTAATTCTTCTTCTTTTTTTTTTTTTTTTGTTCATTAAACATTTAATCTTAAATTTAAGAAAGAATTAGGTGCAGTTCAGTGCATTGAATTGTCTGTCTCTGTGAGAAACCGTATAGTTGCGCTCATATTAATTCGTGATGAGCACGGATAAATTGTATTTTTTTATACACGAAGTATTAAGTATTTCATAATACATATTAATTATTTTTTCAATAGTAATTTTTTATTTAAAAAATAATTTCCTTCCAATACTTGAAGTGTTGCAATAATCCTTTAGGCCTTAACTTAAATAATGTACCCAAAGAAGATTAACAGAAAAAATTATCAAAATTACTTCAGTATTCCGAAGTGAAACAATAAGTATATTATTTATTATCACTACAGGGATATAACTCAATTGACATCGGCTGTTTTTATGGTCTCGGCTGTGATCGGGTCTAGTCGGCACTGTTGGTACATATACGTCGGGGAGTTTATCACAGATATAGCAGAAGACTTTACTGCTGCATTTAACATTTGCATGCGTGGCAGTTGTGCGTCGTGCATTTGTAAATTACAATATTTGGATACGAAAGAACACTTTTAGCTCGTGTTTTTATTTGTGTGCATATTAAGTATAAGTTAATTAAAACAATTTTTTTTTACTGTCCAAAAGTATACTTTAGACCCTATATTGATTGTATTTCAAACCATCAGATTTCCAGGCCATAACCAATTATTTTATAGTGAAATTGATTTTAAACATTTTGTAAAAACAGCATACGTTTTAATTGTAAGTAATTTTTAAACAATTTTGTACTTATATGTATTTAATCATTCATCCAGTACAATAAAACTTTTATACTACATTATCATGTAAACTTGTATCCTTTGAGATTTTTTTTCTAACATACAGTATGGATAAAATAAGGTATGTATGCCGTTAAAAAATTTAAATAAAATAATCAATAAATTTTCAAAATTTTCGTTGCCTGCAATCTTGGATCTAGA